GGGAAGAGATTCACATAGAGACTACTGCTATCCGGGAATCTCTTTCTATGTTAGCTAGCGGGGGCGGGCTTTCCTATGGCAGTCCCGCTGCGGCCTATGAACGGCCGTCCCATCTCATCTTGATTTGTCTATACTTGTATATAGCCAGCCATGTTAGCTCCACATGAGAGCCTTTTAAATAAAGGTTAAAACGGCACTCATCAGTCAGCTCGGCCCCTTTCCTATTTCGCTTTGCCGCCTATTAAGAGAATAGGTCCCGAAAAAGCGGCCCGCCTTCTATCATCTATACCAGCTTCCACGCAAGAACCAATAGAAAGGATTTCGACGCCCCTCTCGTCATAAGAAGCAGAACGCGCCATCACCTACAGCCCTTTCCTCTGCCGGGGGCTTCCATGAAATGAAAACGGGCGGCATCGTCGTATGCTCCACTTTTGTTGCCCTGGTTTATATTCCGGAGTACTCCTATGGCTGATCTGTCACCCAACCTACTTAAACAACCTAAAGGCTTGGCCCCGTCCCGTTTGGAGAATGAACCCTTATGGCACGGCTTAGTCAGTTATTCTCGCAGTTCAGATAAGATTCGGACCGGGTTGGGTTAGGTCTCTAAAAGCATGGTTCTTGCCTTCCTCCCCCCCTTTGAGCTCGTCTATTCGTTGGGTGATCCCTTGCTCTCACGTTCGAGTGTTAGCTCGTCGTTTAGGCCCATGAGTGAGATTTCTGCTCATTGCAGTCACCTCCGGGGTTCTTCGCACCTGGATAGTACCAGGACCCTTGTGCCCCGACCCTTGATCAGATGAAGCTGCCCGCCTTATGACCCACAACTCAAAATGAGCCTTGCGATGAGACGCGGACATTCCCCATGCTGCGGTTCCCTCCGGTCCGTTCCCAGGTTTGGTTAGGGGAACATCCGAGCGATTGCCTTCGCGGATCCAAACGCGCTCACAAGGCGCACAATAAGAATAAGACCAATAGAGACTTCATAAGGGACCATTTGAGCTGCAGATCGTAATGCTCCTAGAGAGGCATATTTCGAATACAGAGGAGTGAAAGTTCCCAACAAATAAGTACTTTTTCATATACTTCTATGAACCGTACGAGTGCGTGCTCTGTCACCCCCCATCGCGCTTACGGCTCTATACCCCAACCCAACTTGCTCTGGCCCCGGGTCTTTCCTTTCTATTCCTCGGTAAGTGGACCGTGGGAGCATGGGGGGCGATATCTGCTTTTGACTGATAGAAAGCATCTCTCTTTTGTCCCTCCTGACCGAACTCGCCAAAAAAAATCACAATAGAAAAAGTTGTTCTTGCTGGAAGAGTAGTGTCGGGGACATCTCCAATTAACCTCATCTTGCCAATCTCGAATAGGTCTACTATGCCCCAGCAATTTAAGCAGTCTCGACCATATTTCCTTGGTTATAATGCATTCAAAGAAAAGGTGGCAAATAATTCGTCAGCTTGGTTACAGAAGACACATTGCCGAGGAACTTGAATCCCAAACTTCAGAATCTATCTTCTCTGTAGTGCTAACCACAATATGAATTTGAATCTGTGAAGTAGATGTGGTTGCAAAAAAATACCTTTCCAAGGCACCCGCTGTAACTCAGGGAATTGCAGACGGTAGAGCCTTTTGATGCTAAATACCTCTTCTTGTTGTAATTGGCATATCCTACTGTTGAGATATCCTTGAATACCTTGAAGTTCTCCAATGAATCTTCTTGTCTCCAGAATTATCCTAACTACGACCCAAGCTGCATTCTTAGGTATTGGCATGTTTCCCAATGTGTGGTGCTTTATATAGAAGGTATGAATCCACCTGATCCATAACAATCTTTCTTCTTTGCCACTGCCCACAGATGCTTTGCCACAACTGCCTTATTCTAGTAGATCATGTTCATCACATTTAAGCTCCCTACAGCTTGTGGTAGGCATACTTTCTCCCATGCAACCAGTGCCTTTTTAGAGACAGTAGATGTTCTTGTCCATAAGAATGATCTACATATAGCCTCAACCATCTGCATCACCTTTTTAAGTAATAGAAAAATCTGTGCCCAGTAAGACTAAATTCCAAATATAACTGACTTAATTAACTGTAGTCGACCTGCATATGAGAGTAATTTTGCAGTCCAGCGGTTAATCCTCTGTGTGATCTTCTCTACTAATTGCCAACACTGAATGACTGATAGTTTTTTAGATGCTAAGGGAACACCAAGATATCTAAATGGTAGAGTGCCTTCAAAGTAGCCAGTTCTTGTAGGATGTCCTGTTTCAGGCTGTTCCAAATACCAGCTAAGTAAATAGAGCTTTTGTCTGCATTTGCTTGAAGGCCGGATGCATTAGAGAACTTTAGAAAGGTCTGTTGCAGTAACCTAATAGAGTTCATTTCAGCCTTGCAAAACACAAGAAGGTCATCTGCAAAGCAAATATGTACCACTCCTAACTTTTTGTATCTGGGATGAAATTTAAAGTCTTTGTTCATTGTCAATTGTGCAAACTCCCTCTGTAGATACTCCATGGCCAGGACAAATAGATAGGGAGACATGGGATCCCCCTGCGTGATCCCCCTCCTTCCTTTGAAAGGTGTTGTCAATCCACGATTCATAGGAAGAGAGTAGGTCACTATTGTAATGCATTCCATTATCCAGCTGATAAATTTGTGAGGAAAACCAAGTTCTTTCAGCATTCTCTCCAGAAAAAACCAATCTAGAGTATCATATGCTTTCCTCAAATCCACCTTCAATACACATCTTGGGGAAATTTCTTTCCTGTTATAGCCTTTGAACACTTCATGTGTGAATAGGATGTTGTCAGTGATACTTCTACCTTCAATGAATGCAGATTGCGAATCACCAATAAGTCCACCAATGACCTTTTTAATTATAGCAGTAAGAACCTTGGTAATTATCTTATACAAGGTTGTGCAGCACACAATGGGTCTCTAATCTTTGACATGGCTTGGGTTTTGCACTTTAGGAATTAAGGTCACAGTAGTACAATTGATTCCTCAGTGCATCTTCCCAGTTGTAAAGAATTACTTAGTGGCATCACAAATATCATTAACAACCTCCTGCCAGTGCTTAATAATATCATCATCTATAATTCTGAATAGGCCTACTCTCGCAAAAAACACTTCCACAGATATCACTATTGCTATTCAAAGTCAATCTAGATAGATACCTCCGCAGAAAAGCCGCCATTAAATAAAACTTATCTAAAGAGAAAGCCGCCACTAAATAATGAATTTTATCACAGTCTCTACTTAAGTGCCAAGCTTTTGCAATAATATTTTATTGCAACATGGGGGCTACAGCTTGCTTCTATGTATATATATATATCTCTTATTAACTCACTAATTCAATATAACTTTTAGCCATCCCGTTGAAGAGATTTTATTAGTTGTAATGTTTATGTAGAAATTCCTCTATGGTAAGGGTGTGGAGGATGAATGAAATTAAACTGACAACTAGATTTTAGTTTTGTAAAGTCAGGGCTGCATTTAGGAAGGCGTCTTTGGAAAAAAATATTGAACTTCTATATTATCAAAATCAACTTTCTTGTACAAAATAATCCAGTTGATTTATGGACATGTGACTATATAGGTACCCTGGCGGCTCTTTTCATTAGCCTAAGAATAACAAATAATTAATAATATAACCACTGGGGTATTATATTCAATGCTTGTATATATCTCCAAATAAATAGCTCGAAGTTCATCTTATTAGTTTCTACCAACAAGCCTTTTCATCCCAAAATGTCTGCTATTGCAATTCTAGGATTACTAGTTGTTACCAGCAGCATTGAGATAGCAGGTTTCTCTCCCCCTCTCCAACTCCATCCCAATAAATAAAGGCTAAACTTTTGAATTTCCTAGTCAATAATAATATAGTCTTAATGTTTTGTGTATGTAAATTATGCATTTTCCGATAGTTATTTAATTTGCTAATTTTTTCTTATCAAATTTCTTATTATTGTTGAGCAGGGGCTCAATCAATAGGTGTTTGCTATGGAATGCTAGGCAACAACTTGCCTTCACATGAGGAAGTTATACAAGTCTACAAGTCAAGAAACATAACAAGAATGAGGCTTTATGAGCCAAATCATGGAGCTTTACAAGCCTTAAGAGGCTCCAACATTGAAGTTATGTTAGGACTTCCCAATTCAGATGTCAAGCATATTGCTTCTGGCACTGAACGTGCGATTTGGTGGGTACAGAAAAATGTAAGAGATTTCTGGCCAGATGTTAAAATTAAGTACATTGTTGTTGGGAATGAAATTAGCCCTGTCACTGGCACATCTTATCTCACCTCATATCTTGTTCCTGCCATAAATAATATTTATAATGCAATTAATTTCGCTGGTTTGGGATACGACATCAAGGTCTCAACTTCTGTAGACATGACCTTGATTGGAAACTCTTATCCACCATCACATGGCTCGTTTAGGAGCGATGCTAGGCCGTTCGTTGATCGGGTTGTTGAGTTTTTTGAATTCACACGTGCACCTTTGCTCCTTAACATTTACCCTTATTTTAGCTATTCTGGTAATCCTGGCCAGATTTCTCTCCCTTATGCTCTGTTTACTGCACCTAATATGGTGGTACAAGATGGTTCGCGTCAATATAGAAACTTATTTGATGCAATGTTGGATTCTGTGTATGCTGCCCTCGATAAAGTACCAGGAGGAAGATATGTAGACATTGTTGTGTCAGAGAGCGGCTGGCCATCAGCTGGTGGATTTGCAGCCACAACAGATAATGCAGCAACTTACTATAAGAACTTAATTCAACATGTTAGAGAGGGTACTCCAAGAAAGCCTGGACCCATTGAGACCTATTTATTTGCCATGTTTGATGAGAATAACAAGAACCCTGAACTAGAGAAACATTTTGGGCTGTTTTACCCCAACAAGCAGCCCAAGTATCCACTCAACTTTGGGGTTTCTGATGGAGTTTGGGACGTTTCTGCTAAAACTAATGACACTGCATATCTCAGAAGTGAAATGTGAGAGGTGACTCTTCAAATTTTTTTATTAATTTGTGAGCTTAGTACCAATTTGCAACAAGAGACTTTGTTCTTTATGCAATTATCTGTGTATGAAAACTGTTTATGTCCTGATGGATGGTTAACTAGAGACAGTGCAATCTCTGAGTGGTGTTTTAACTTCCTTTACTTCTTTGTGATGTTGTTCGTGTCGAAAACAACTTTTTGTAAGTTTGTAAATTTGACGCACCTTATCAATTACTCCATCCATTTCAAAAAAAAATTGGTATTATTTCCTTATTAATCCGTTTCTAAAAGATTAGTACATTCTTATATTTCCTTAATGGGAAGCTGTCACGACCCAAAACTCCATTAGTCGTGACGGCACCTAACCCAATCTGCTAGGTAAGCCAATTAACAATAATCCAATTCAAAGTGAGATTTACTGAGAAAATAAATGATGAAATAACTGAACTTTTATACAAAAATCCCAAGGATTGGTAGTACAAATCATGAGCTTCTAAGACGTAGAATTTTACAAAGTTGGTATGAAATAAATGCATCACCTGTTCAAAATATACTTAAATAGATTTATAATTCTAAAGCTACCATGAACAAGAGACAGCTATAACCCGCACGCAGGTGCATCCTCAATGCCAGCTCCTGCCACACGCAGTAACATCAACTCCAAGATCTGCACGCAAGGTGCAGAAGTGTAGTATGAGTACAACTGACCCCATGTACTCAATAAGTAACAAACCTAACCCTAGGTTGAAAGCAGTAACGAGCTCGGATAAACGGTTAGGGTCTAACACCAATAGACAAGAACATCTCGTAACAATATAATGAAAGCAGTACAAGTAATAACTCAAAAGATATTATGCTCAGCTCATTCACAGCTATGAAAAAGTAGATATGTTTTTCAGGTATAACAGTAAAACCCAAATCTTGCACCGAAATTACCAAAATATGAGGGTATATCAGAAAACTGTGATTTTCCCAAACTTTCGACAACAAAAAGATTAGTTCATTATCAGATAGCGTGAGAAAAGTACATCTTCATGCCTACATGTCAATATGCATATCAAGTCATCACTCATCATATACCATCTAGCATGAGTGAAAAATGGAAAAAATATTCTTTTATTTTTCCAAGAACTTTAGGACATTGTGCACAGAAGAGACAAAACATACTTTATCTTTATATTTATCTTTAAAGTTTCTCTCTTAGGTAATCAAAAACCGAAATCCAAAAAAAATATTTTTTTATTTTGTCCATTTCTCGTTTCGAAGTCTTTCTTCAGGGATATCAAATGAAAATTTGAAATATTTTTCTTTGGTTTATTGTTTGGACTTCATTTCAGAAAAAAAAAAGAATCAAAAAATATTTTTCTCTTGTAGGATTTTTCCTTAATAATTTCCCATAGTGTATTTGTTTCAAAAAAAAAAAGGAAAAATATATGCTCGCTAAGCTTGAGTTTGGAATAGGTTATAGAACATTAAGTCTAGAAAATTCAAAAAAAAAAGGGTTTTGCATCTTTTGTTTCTCTTTTCTCATCAGAGTAGTCATTAAGGTAAAAAAGAAAAAAAGAGAACGATAGTTTGTTTGCTTTATTCTCGATCTTCAAGAACTAGGCTCGGTCCGATTCACGCGGGGTCGTGATACGTAGGCAATCTCCATAGGATTCGACCGTAACTAAATGAAAAAAAAGGAAAAATAAGAAAAGAATGAAAGGAAAGAGGTGAAAAACAAGAAAGGAAAGAAAAACAAAAGAGGGAAGGAAAATATGGAACCAAACAAAAGCAAACAAGAGAAAATAAAAAGGGAACAAAGGAAAGAAAAGAGCGGGAAAACAATTTTGAGGAAAGGAGCGAATAGGAACAAGGAAAAACCAAGGCAAAAGAAAAAAAAAAGAAAAGAGGGAAAAATAAGAGAGAAAAGCAAAAGCAAAAAGGGAAAGACAAGAAGCAACAATGGAAAACACGAGGGAAGGCATGGCAAATAAAGAAAAATGAAAAGGCCGGGATGACGCATGCGACCGATCAAAAGCATAATAGGAACTGTTAACTGCCTAGGTGCATTCACTCCCCAAATGTGCGGGTACCAATATGTTAAATGCCCTAACGCTAACGTGATGGTTTTCTTTTGTCATGTCATTCCAGAAAGGTGGTTGGTTTGTGGTTTGAAAGTGGTAACTCTTCTTTACAACACGAGGACAAAAGGCAATGGCAGAGAACAACAGAACTGAGTGGATTGATACGGGTGCCCAAAAGTAATTTTTCAGACCCATACGCGAAAGGCTTTGATCCTGCTGTTCGATGCATGTACCACTCTAAAGTCCGGGGGCATAGCATGGAAGATTGTCGCTCTTTGAAAAGGGAAATAGAAAGAATGATTCAAGAAGGGGTAGTTGTGGTCAATGACAGTGACAAGGAGCATGCGAATCCTCTTGGGAACTTGTTGATTAAAGTTGATAATGGTCTTGGCAGTATGGATGCGGAACTCAGTGGCTAAGATGCCGTGCTTGGTAATTGGGAAGACGCTCCATTTCTTGGTCAGCCGGAGTGGAATTTTGGTGGTTTATTTTGTTGTCATTTCTGTTGTCCGGGTTATTTCAGGATTGTAATCCGGATATTGTCTTGTGACTCAAACCCTTCTATCCTTTCATTTTGCTTGGTTTGTTTAGTCGTAGTAGCTCGTTTAGTGCTGTCTAGGTTTGTTCCAGGGTTGTAACCCCAGTCTAGTTCGCTTGACTTGTTGTTCGAACCGTTTCACCGTCTGTCTAATACAATTTCCTATTTTATGTTATTTCTAGTCATTTTCTTTTGCTTAGTTCTCTTTTCTTTCCACAGTTCTTTTCCTGTTGGTTCTAGTGACATGACATGCATGCATAATTCTCAGCCTGAGTTCGAAAGTTAGTTTACTCATGAAGCATTGAAACAATTTTGAAGATGATAGGGGCACTTGAGGGAAATAAGAACAGATTTGGACACTTTGAGATCATTTGAAGCCCGAACCATGTGAAACTGGGGCAGATAAAACATAAAGAAACCCTATGGAAATGCATCATGCCGCATCGGGTTGAAGCTAAAGGCAAGTTTGCCCAAATTGACAGGGGCCGTTCGTGGTAATGAGAGTGATAGTGTTGTCCAATGGTGCTTTGTATTTTACAGATGTGGAAGGCGAATATGTGGATACGGTTATCAAGTCTAGTACAATCAAAAGATGTTACGAATGTTTTCCTTGGTTTGTTTAAATGTGTTGTTTGTACTTGGCATGTTTTGAAGATTGGAATGACGAAGGCATTTTGTTCTGCTATCTAAACACTTTATCCTTCGTTACTCCTTTGAGCCTTATTTGTTTTCTTTCGTACCCCTCTTTTGGAATCAATAGCAAAGATCAGGAACACAAGCGTGAAAGATAATTAAAGGAAAAAGAGAAAAGAAAAAGAATGAAAAGAGAGGAAAAAAAAAGAAGAATAAGAGAAAGAAAAAAAAGGAAAAGAGAAGGAAAAGAAAAAGAAAAAACAACAAAAACAACAAAGAGAAAAGGAAGAAAGAAAAGAAAAGAAGAGAAAGAGGAAGAAAAAGAAAAGAAAAATCACAGCAACAAAGTAATTCCTATGCCATGAACTACGTTTGACTTGATTCCGAAAGGATACGTAGGCAGCCTCTATCTGGGGTTCAGTCACACCGAAATAAAAGTCCAAAGTCCCCAAGGAAGAAACTGGGGCAGAAGTTGTGGTTGTTGTGGGAAATCTGATTCCGAAAATTGTAATTTTGAACCCATGTTGAATTGTTTTGAGCCTTTGATACCCTTTCTTTCTAACCCTATCCAAAAGCCCACATTACGGTCCAAAGGAAGACCTTCTGATTAGTCTTCGAGAGATGCCAAGTCAAGCGAGTAGAGGTGAATCATATCAGGGGAAACACTCCGGTCCAAACGAAGGAAATGAAGAATGAGAGTGTCTTGTTGATGAGAACCCTCACGGGTATCCCAAGGCGACGAAAGCTGAGAGAAATCAAAAATGAGAGAGTCTTATTGGTGAAAACCTTCACGGGCACCATAAGGCGATGGTGAGTTGAGAAAAAAGACCAAAATGAGAGAGGCTTGATGGTGAAAACCTACGGGCACCACAAGTCGAAAAAGGATTGTGATTCAAATCAGATAAGCGGAGCATTGAAGCCCAGTTTCACGGCGAAAAGGTACAACAAGAGGTGAACATCAGATTTGTTTAACAGAATAGGCTGCAGGTGCATGTCAAGGTCATCAGAGTCGGTGTCCACATCCGATAGGCTTATACGTTGTAGTTTTCTTTCCATTATCCTTTACTCTATTCCTTTTGTCTTATTTACTCCCTCTTCTTGAGTCTGTTTGGTCATAACACGTGAGAAATGACTTCAAAATCTGCCACCAGCTTTCCAATTGAACAAAACGGTATCTGGCCAGCATATCAAATCGTCATAAGTCAGGAAAAATAGTAGGCACACTGAGTTGGCAACAATCTACATGCTTCGGGATCCTTGTGAAATGCACGGGCTTGGTATTTGTCAATTCATGAACAACGCAACAAATGAAGGGGTTGGGGTGAATGGATCAAAGGTATTTTGATTTAAACATGAAAGGTTTGGTACATATCAGATGGAGGGTGCTTGGTGAACGGATCAGAGGTATTTTCTGCGTAGGAAAGTGGTTAGCAAGGTCTCCAAGTGGGAATCGGTTATCAAGGCAAGTGAAGGAACAATACAACTTCAAGGCCGAGGCCAGTGATTAAGTCAAGAAAGAACACCATAGACGTGCTTTGGGATTCATATGAGACATAAGGGTTGGGGGATGCCAGTTCATGCAATGCAACAAGTAGAGGATATCGGGAACAAGCAAGGTCTTTGGGTGGAAATCAGTCATCTTGGCAAATGCAGGAGCAGCTAGCCTCAAAGTTCAAGGCCACAAACNATTTCAGGGTTGTAATCCGGATATTGTCTTGTGACTCAAACCCTTCTATCCTTTCATTTTGCTTGGTTTGT